AGTCTCAGTTCGCGATTCTAAAAAATGTCTTGGCAGTCAATCAGGTCAGTTCACTACCTCCAGACTGACAGTTTGAACCGCAAAGATGAACTGACAACTGACTGATTGACTGATAGCAACTCTGCTTAGACCTCATGGAAATGATATCGCAGATGCCGTCGATGAAGGATATGCTATTTCGTTTCTTGAGGCACACGAGAACAGATCGGAGGTTAATGTTGGTGGAATTGTCAAGAGGAAAAGTAAGAGAACAGGGTACTACTATACTGATGATGAGGACGATGACGAGGACGATGATTGGGATGACGACGATGGAGATGACGATGGCACGGATACTGTTAACAGCAGCGATACTAACTGACTAGTCTAATAACCTGTATCGCTTAACACTCTTCCCTTAAGATAGTTCAATAGCTTTGAAGAACAGCAGTCACAAAGACTATGATTGGGATAGTTCCGGAGAAACAATCATGTTATGCGTGGTAAGAAAGGGCAAGGAATGCTGAAAGACAAGACAGCTTTGACACTCGCAATCACCGTCTGTTGAATTGGTTCCAAAGGAACTTACTACACACACACACACACACACACACACACACACACACACACACACACATGTAGTCATCAAATAAGACACAGCTTTACGACAATAAGACCGCTACACACGGCAACACATTCCACAATTGCTTACCCCACATGCATTCGGATGCGATAACGATAATGCAAGTGCCCAATGTCCTAATGCTTATGCCACGCCCAACGTCGGATCCGACTAAAAGACGGAATGTGAAACCGATAAGCGAAAGCCGGTCGATCCCAATGTCCAGATGGCGTGACTCGCGCATCATGAGCACACGCACAACAAACGGGACGAAAAAAAATGTCCAGAAGGCCCCACATCCGTCCCGTCAGAGAACTAAACTAGGACCTGAAACACATAACCCCACCTGGAACACCCAAGGACCAGGATACGCCTGTGTCGCGGTTCTGGAACAATACTCGGTGCCCCATTTACAGGTACAAGCTTGCGCAGTTGCAAATGTCCCTGTTTCAAACACTTGTCAGTTTACCCAAACTTCACACATAATGCACCCCCAGCACATAACAGACCCAAACAACGGGCCAACGCGTTCCAAACACCAGGGCTCAACCCGCCGGCGCGGATACGGGACATATGAGAGAGAAACTAAATGGGAAGAGCACATACCGTTTGATGAGTTCCTGACACGTCCCCATTTTTTGGAACAAAGTCGGGTCGCCGATAATCCGAGCCGCGTTCTTGACCTCCCGGCACGTCTCGTCTAGCCGGGTGATGACGCGGACAATAGTGCCTTCCATGACATCTGTCAGGTCGGTTATGCGATTGAATGACATACCCCTCGCCCACTCATACACGACTTCGACCATGCCGAAGCGGGGCTTGCTGACAAAGTCGTTCGAGTCATCTGCGGAGAGGATGACCTGATGCAGAGTTTGGATCTTGTTGACCTTCTCAGAAATCTCAACGATCTTGGCGACACCGCGTTCCAAATTTGCTGTTAGCGTAGGCTCTACGTCGGTCTTCTCTTGGAAGACAAAGGCCGAGAGTAGTGCGACAATTTCTTCCGGTTCGTACTCGGCGAGGACGTTCTCCAAAACGAGTTCGGTAAGGACCAGCTCGTCGGCAGAGTGGATCTGAAAGCTGTCAGTGAATGGATACGCCTGGTTGAGAGAGACAGGCAAACCTCGCAGGCTACCTTGCCCTTCAGCTCCACGCGAGAACCTTCGTCAATAAAGCCGAGGTCCTTAAGTACGTGTATGCGCTGTTCATAGTCAGGGAGTAGCTGTAAATTCTGATCTGACATGAGCTGGCGGAGGGCAAGGATGTTCTCTTTGATAAGCCACTGATCATGCTCTTGAGCAAACTACGATGGTTAGCTTGGGTTGAGGACACAGCCAGCCACGAACACGTACGTGTTTCAAGAAGTTTGGACACTTCAGGCATTCTTTGCTAACCGCATTCTGACCCTCCTTCATGCGGGCTTCCGCCAGTTCGCGGAACTTGAGGCTCTTGATCTTGCTGTAGTCGTATTCATCCCAGTCTTCATAGTCCCAAGATCCACACAAGGGCAGGAACTGATCTTGGGCCAACTTCAAGGTATCTGGCATATCTGTTAGCGCCGGATTCAAACCGTAGCGCACCCACTTACCCTTGGATACCTTCCGACCCAGGTTCTGAATGGATTCGGGCACATCGATGATGGTCTTGGTAAAGCATTCGATATCGTTCAGGGGCACGTAGGCTGCCTTGAGGATCAGATCCTTGGGGTTGTTCGGTAACTTGCGGAACCACTTTGCAAAAGGACCGACATATGGCAAGAGGTCGTCAGGCTTGCGATCTTGGTGCTGCGCCACCTCTAAGACTTTGACCGTAGGCTCGTTGCCTTTGCTAGTACCATCTTGCATTAGCATACCGGCGGTGCGTTTATTGTCCTGGCCAAGTCAGCAACAAGTCACTCTTCGAGCGGTAATTAGCGGCGCACCTTCTTATAGACAATCAATCTGTTCTTCGCCAAAGCCCGTCGTCCAATGGGGTTGATGAGTAGACTCAGGTGCATCTCGTTGGTGAGTCTCTTGTAGTCTTCACAAGACTGATGGCAGGCCTCTAGGTCGATATCGCAGGTATCACAAGGCTCACGCTTGATCTTCTCCAGCTCAGCTTCCGAGACTTTGACCTTGCCTTGATGTTCAGGTAGCAGCGCTTGGGTGGCATTCTCGCTGAAACTTCGCTTGATCATCTCTTCGATCTTCAAAGCCTCTACACGTAAGAGATTGAGCATCATGTTATACGTCAGACGAAACTGTGATCTGAGCTTAGTAGGCTCACCCAACATCATCTGACGGAGTCTGGCTGCCGGTGGTGCCTCGTCGGCTCCGGGCGCACATATGATTACAGTGCCGACCGTGTCGAGTCCTCTTCGTCCTGCACGACCAGCCATCTGAGTGTATTCGCCAGGGAGCAAGTCGCGGAACTCTCGTCCATCGTGTTTGCGGAAACCAGAGAACACTACGGTCCTAGTGGGCAAATTGAGACCCATCGCGAAAGTCTCCGTGGCAAAGAGAACCTTGACAAGTGTCTTGGCAAATAGAATCTCTACAACCTCTTTGACGATGGGTAACATTCCACCGTGATGGACAGCAATGCCTCGGCTGAGCAACTCTCTTAGGCGCTTGATCTGAGGAAGGTCACGGTCTTCCTTGCTCAGTCTAGCCAGCGACTTCTCGATGGTCATGTGTATCGCGCTCTTCTCAGCAGCGTTGCAATAGTCGATGTTTGACAGCGCCTCTGCATTCTCCTCGCAGCGCTTCTTGGAGAAGACGAATATACAAGCCGGCAACAGGTCTTTGTTTCGAAGATGCTGTATGAGGTGGACCCAGATGTTCCGATCTTGCGCGGCTGTTGTTCGACCTCCACCACGACCGGTCCTGGCGATGTTGCCACGACCCCTCGCAGCCGGAGGTCCTCCGCCTCGAGGCGCGCCACGCCCGCCACCTTGTTGACCTCTTCCACGTTGGTTCTGGCCTCCCCGGGCGGGCGGTCCTCCGCGACCACCACTGCCTCTACCAGCTTGGTTTGCATTCGCAGGAGCTTCTTTGATCTTGTCTTTCCCAGACAAGACATCGTTTGCAGCTTTCCAGCCGTTGTCGATGAATTTCTTGTCTGCTGTAACGATCTTGTGGATGTCTTTTCCAGCCCAAAGATAATGTTCGAGAGGAATGGGACGCTTTGGGGTGGAGATGACGTAGATGTCCTTCTTCTTTGTGCGACCAACCCATGACGCGAACTCGTACGTGTTGGGGACAGTTGCGGATAGCAGAATGAGAGTCACATGCTCTGGCAACATGATGATGACCTCCTCCCAGACAACACCACGCTCCAGATCATTGACGTAGTGTACTTCGTCGAATATGACAAACTCTACATCTCGGATAAGATCCGCTCCCCGATACAACATACTTCGGAGGATCTCGGTGGTCATGATGAGACAGCTAGCTTCGGGCCTGATCTGCACATCTCCAGTAAGAATGCCGACGTCATCGAATGTTTGGCGGAAATCGCGGAACTTTTGGTTACTTAAAGCTTTGATAGGAGATGTGTAAATGGCTTTGGTCATGTGCTTGGCAGCGAGTGCGATCGCGTACTCTGCAACCACTGTCTTGCCAGCGGACGTATGTGCGGCTACGAACACTGAATCGCCGTTCTCAAGATGGTAGACCGCTTCTTTCTGGAAAGTATCGAGCTCGAAGGGCCACTCGCGCGCCATATCCGGCACAAGTTCCTTGAAGTTGGTGATGTCGCGATCGATGTCAACCATATGAGCCCACTCTCTTCCGCCTTTCCTTCCAGAGCTCATAGCAAGCGGGCCGTGAGGAGCCAACGCAGGGAACTCTACTGGTAGCAAGGCGTCAATCTCGTCGTCTCCAGGCTGGTCTTCGTCAGGTTCTTGGCCGTTCGCGCCGGCCTTCTCGGTAGTCTCTTCGTCATCGGCATCCATATCTCTAGGGGCTGTACCCGCCTCTGCTAAGGTGTCTTCGACCTCTTGCGCAGCTTTGGCATCTGTGGTTGGCTTTTTCTGGAAGTCGAGCCCGCGAGTGAACCCAGGCGGTACCTCCAACAGGCCCCCTTCAGCACTGAAGTTGATGACCCTGTCAAGGCCACCAACCCGTCTCCCATTCGCATCCTCCTGCTGTTGAATTGCCTCATCTTCGATCGCAGCTACCGCTTCCACTCCATCAAGACCGCCAGGCGCGAAAGGAAAGAAGCCGGCTGCTCCGCGCACGAATTCAGCTCTGTTAGCAGGCTTTCTGAGAAGAGACGTCGAGTTCTTGGCTGTTGCCGAGTTTGCTGGAACTGTGACTTCTTTGTATCCCGTGACGCGACCCTCTAGCCCCTCGCGCGTGAAGCGGATGATGGTTCGGGTCTGGGTTGGGGCGATCTGGAACAGGCTGCGATAATTGGTGGGTGCATCCCAGCGCTGCTGAAGCTGGTTCAACCACTGCGTGTCGAAAGACTTGGAGGGTGTCAGGAATTCTTGCTCTAGTTCCTTTTTGATGACATCTTTGGTTTTGCGTTGTCGCTTCGGTGGCCGTTGTTCGCCAGCTATGGAGTCTATCCCATCTTCGCCGAGGCTACTGCTGTGCAGCCGCAGCTTCTCCAATTCTCCAGACAAAGCTTCCATATTCGCGGGTTGAGTACGAATCTGGTAGATTGCTATGCCTGTCCAGGTGCGGGATTGTGGCGCGCCGAGTGAGAAAATGGATGACGTTGTTTGTTTGAGACGCCAAGCCGCATCGGGAGGACCCACTTCCCCCGCTATACAC